TGGTGGTCGCACTGATAAGGCCCCTTTTAACTGATTTATAGAATTGGGAACGACCTGATCATAGTTCGAAAATAAATTTTCTTCTAATTCTAAATGAATTTCACTTGAGAGATTTCATTTACTATACTTTGCTTCTCCACGACCCGAAGCCTCGTTAGACGATTGTCTAACAAAAATGATTATCAATGTTAATTAACATTCATGTACAATTATTAGCAATATTAAATTATTTATCACGTAGAATCATTGTCAATATTAAATCATTCTATACGTAGAACTTTTACAGACTAGATTAGGGTTGGTCAGTTTTAAGAAAAGGCTTTATCTACCAGATAAAAATTGTTATCACGAAAGAACGCAGATAATGGAATTATTGAAACCAATCATATTTATGACAGTCAACTAATACGAGGCGCCAAACTTCTAATCTTTTAGCTAGAGCAACAAAAATATTGACGAAACATCGAATTATTTAACTTTCATTAGAATACATTTAAACAATTAGTCGTTGCTCGCATAGAACGACGAAATTCAATTTATATATTGGAGATTTACAAATTATTTGGTAAATTCCCTAGGCAGAGTGGCGTCTCCTGTGCATCGTATCTGCCTTTCAAAATTGTGCTTAACGTGTCGCGACTACGTAACGAGCTCCCCTCTCAAATATATTCCGAAAGAAGTCCCGAGGTCCAGGGATATCCACGAATTTCTGCCAAGTGCTCCTACGTGTCCCATGTAACGAGTTCGGTTCTTTCCTCCTCTCCTTCCGTCGACTCTTCGTCCTTTTCTCGCAGACCTATCACGGAACTAGTCCTTGCGTCGCATCGGCGCTGTACCTGGGATACTACCAGACGTGAAATCCGGGTCGCCCTATTTTGCAATTGGCAATCGGCCTGATCCCGCAATGAAAAGTCTGCCAGCGAGTTGTAGCTATCGAACACTTTGCCAGGTCGCCCTATTTCTTCGATCGTTTCTACCTTTCATTGTGCTTCCCTACCTTTTCTCTGATCGATCGGACTTCTATGCAAATTAAAACGTTTTTAATGATAATTTAAAAAATGCACTCTTTTGATGAAGCTAATAGTTGTTAAGTTTGACTCTAAGAAGGATACTAATAAAATTCTTATTATTGTATAAGCGTCACCCTCCGGTTTTGATGATTTTCTTCGTTACTGATCATCGAGATTCCTTTTAAATTTCCAGATCTGTTTTTTTCTCCTTCTGTACCTCGAAATTTGTTGAAATCTGTTTTTCGCATAGAAAAAGGTAATTCGGATAGAAACTAAAAAAGACGCGAAGAGAAGAGAGGAGAAAAAAGGGATGAAACGAATGGGTGGAGGTTTTCCAAGTTGTACGAGTTGAAGTCGTTGGAGAGAGATTGCCTGCACGGAAAGAAGTTTTCATTGTTCCTGCATTAAGCAGTGGAATAATCAGTGTTCATTAAAAGCGAACTCCAATTAACTGATCATTTCAAATTATGATTAAACGTATCTAAAATCTATTACATTTCACTGTACTTTTGCATTATACAAGTCGCCTAAGGCAAGCCGCCTGAATAACATGAAAAAAACAAAGTCGACCTTCAAATCTCCTGAGCCCTCCACGTACAGAAAAGCTTGACCTGAGGACATTGAGTGAGGAAAAAATTTTCACTCGAAAAATCAAGGCTATCGCCACAATAGTTATACAAATGATAACGTCTACTATTTTCTTTATGTTTAACTGATTCGAGAAAATCAGGCAAGACAATTTAATTGACGTTGCCTTTTTTTATCGTTACAGAGGCGGAGTGCGGAAATAACGGTGGACAGTGGGGAGCAGAATGCTGTGTTCATTCGCATTTCCGGTGAGTGAAACTCCCGTCGCATTAACAATTTAAACGAGCGTTAATTTTTACTTGCTCTCTTCTTTCCCTTTTAGTTACATAATGAATACGGCGCAGAGATTAAACAAAACGACATGAAACGTTCTGGTTTCTTCACACATACATGTATATACTCGTGGATGAAACCTCGGTGGTTGAAATTTTCACATTTATTTATTAGAGAGAGAAAAACTCGAACCTTTCTTATTTATAGAATTAATTATTTTTAAGTTATGTTAATTACGACTCTTCAAAACGAAATCAGTGAAGGGCTGATCAACACTTCTTTAAGAAAGATGAAATTAAAAATGATTCATAATACAGTATAAAATAAAGTTAAATTGAAAAATGTTTATTTGTCAGAAAGGAAACACTTCAAAGGCAATACTTGTTTCGTTGATCAATTAATTTATGATTATTATAGTTTTGTCAAGACTTGATTAGTTTTAAATTAAGTTCGAATGGAGAGGATTCTTTAAAACTAAACCAACGAAGGGCTGATTAAACTTTTCTCGCGAAAGATGGAATTAAAAAGAGCAAATTGCAAACGTTGCTTAATTAACGCGACGCGAAACAACAATTTTTTGTCGTAATAAAACCTCGACGACGAACTCTTGCCCTTTAGACGGCTCAAAAAGCTGCATAGAAATACAAACGTAATTACACAGTCGACATCATTTCCTTCCTTTTTTTTCTCATCTTTTTACGTCCCTCTGAGGGTGAACCAGTTCGCAATTCAGTGTAATTCAGATTGTTCGCAGAATTCCCGTCGTAAATAATGTCAGTAGGTACATAGAACGACGGAAGATGTACAAAACATTAAATCATTCATTATGATAAAATTTACTGACAATAATTCAAATTGTATAAATATTGATTACACAGAAAAAGAAAAAGATATAATTTGTATTACATGTATAAATATGTATATTTCAATACATAGAAAAAAATTGAGAAGAATAGCCAGGAACACGATTTTTTAGTTCTTTATTTAAGTAATAAATGGGAATGTAAAACTGCAAGACTCGCAGAAATGGGCTGGCCTTAGAATCAGTTGAGTTGTTCGAAGCCAAGCCTGGCAACTCCGTTTAATAAAGTCTCACGGGTGACGTAAAAGGAAGTTAAACGACCTAGGAAAGCCTGATCCGAGTTTACTTATACGCTCTCTTGAGAACCGTGAGAATCTCGTGACTAATGCCACAATATAGTATGTTTCTGGCAGACATTTTCCTCAGAGTAAATAAACCGTAATTAGAACATTGTCATATGTTTGATACGCAAACAGTGATCGAAGTCAAATCTGATTTTTTTATTCCAAGCGAGACATTTGTAATCTTGGAAACAGGGCGAGTTGTGGAACTTAATTTAATTTACTTTCTGATAGGACAAGAATCTCAAATATTCTATTTTAATAGTTGCTAAACGTATTCCTTTGTCTCACGTCCTACTAAAGCCTATCTAAATCCTTTGACAGAAACATTATTGCACAGCTTAAGTGCTCTTTGCATTAAGTGGTAGAAATCAGACGAGGAACGTCATTGTCTCCTCGGCGTTGACAAATTTATACAATTCATTGTATATGTATATATGTATATCTTTTAATATACATATTGTTACGATTTATGGACCCTCGTGACGGCAGGTACATATATTATATTAAACATTTACAGTATATTACATATTTATAATTATATTATATCAATATAATTCTATATTATATTCAAAATAATAATATATTAATTAGTTACATTATTACCAATGTTCAACACACACGAACCACCAAACCACAAATTGTCGCATCCCTCTTTACATTCCTACAAAGTAAATTACTGTCATTTACAAGTAACTGTATTCCGACTAGGGGAAAAAATTAACAATAACTGGGATTGTGAACCAATATTGGAAAACGTCGAGTGGATCAAAGAGCATTAATCAAAGTAAACCGTGCACATCGTAGTGACTGTATTTCCTTGTGACAATAATACAAGGTACTTGTCCCCTCCTATTGATTCCCGATGTCATGAAAAAAAGAAGATTATTGGAAATCCTCGAGTTGAGCAAAAAGGGTCGGATCGACAAAGGTCAAGGAATCAACCCTTCCAGCTTTTTATTTTTTCTTTTAACATTACACAACCCGTCTCTCTTGCGGTGAACTACGATCAACGTTATTTATACAAGAAAAATATTATTGACCCCATCAGGGGCATTGGCATACACGTGTACGCTTAGCGTTCTTCAAATTAAAAATATAATTAAATCGTTTTTTGTCCATTTTAAATAATTCGTCCTTAAAGAATTACTTTTTCATTCTCAAAGTATGATTTCATGTAATATCTTCTGAAGTTGTTGATTTTTATTAAAGAGAAGTGTATTCATGTACTGGCGTTTAATTGACCTAATTTCAGTCGTATGCACATGTACTACTGACTTTTATGCAAAATAGAACTGGGCTGCATTTTCCAGATTTCTGATGAAGTGGTTTATATAATTTATTAAATAATAATAATAATAAATAACAAGTTTAAATAATTATATAAAAAGTAGCCTTTGCAAAAGGTCTCAACGTACCGATCCAGATTCTGATTCACATGCATACGAGAAGAAGGGGGCAGGGATTAAAAGATTTAAACGAAATGCGTATAGAGTAAATGGAAGTGTTAAATCGGCGTGCCGCAATTTTAAAACGGCTTCGCCTATTTTCAGCCCGTCGCCGATTACGATCGGCTATAAACAACAACGGTAATAATAACGGGTCGTCCTCGTTGGCAAGTGCATTAAACGGCACCGTTCAAATATGTCGACGGAATCGTTATTCGCAATAGAGCGATTGTGCAACGATTTAAGTGTCTATGCACAGTACCGTTTTATGAAGACCTCCTTTGATGAGGCGCGGGAAGAGAAATGTTCTTGTTCGTATGAAGTGCTCTCTGTCTCCGAGTTGCTTATAATACCAGCCATTATAGTATCATTCACTGTTAATGTCTTACTTGTTTTATGTGTCGATGTTACATGTAGTATAATTAAATACTAATTAGAAAAAAAAAGACATATTTTACTACATTTCTAGCTTCAGCGATAGAGATTCGAAGAGTCCTGTTTTACTAACTAAAAATCTCTGTTTCATTGTTGCAGAGAGCGCAGCGTTGCCAACGTCCGGCGGTACGGCGAATCTGTCGGAAGTCCGCGATGCACCGACAGCACCGGAGCAAGGCAAGACGATGCCGTACAGGCGCTTGTCAGAGATGGACCGGATCCTGTTGGAAAGTTTGGATATCGGCCGTTCGAGGCCCAGGCCAATCGGTCGATTCCTGACGATGCACAAGAGACGTCGTAAGAGGCTTACCACGAGATCCTTAACTCAGGAGCCGGGCATTCTCGATGATATTTTCCATGGCCTGGTTCAGGTAAATCCGATAATTGATGAGTATAGAACATTTAAGTGCGCGCATAGACCCGACCGTTTCTCTCGAAATCGAATCGACCATCTCCCGAGCTTCTCCCGAACTTATAAATACAGGCTGCTCAGTAATTAAGATTTTAAGAAGTGATTTTAGAAACTAAAATAAGGCAGAAATTGAAGAACAATACAATTGTGTCCGGGGCTCTATTTTTTACTTAAAAATTAAATTAAAACTTAGCCCTATTGGCATTGGGTTTTCGATTGCAACGTACGTCTAACAGATGCTAACAGCAGGTTCACCTAGCAGTTATATTTGATTATAATTCTAGTCTTGTCAGCCAAAAAATAGGACTCGGAATATTTCTATCCCTCGAGATCTTTACACATTACCGATTCATTTCAGACTCACAATATGTTTGATTTATTTCTGATATTACTACTTAAACTCGTGAAAAATCGATTCGAAAGGACTGATGACGTTCCAATTGATAAATATCTTCATTTACAATCACTCAATATCTTCTTTAACATCGAGCACACTCGATTTCTTTGCTCCTGATTCGAAATCACCAATGTTTGCTTTATTTCTGATATTACAACTTAAGATTATGAAGAATTGAATCGAAAGGCCTGATGGTGCTCCATATAGATAAATATCTTCATTAACAATCAATCAATATCTTCTTTAACATCGAGCACACTCGATGTCTTTGCTCCTGATTCGAAATCACCAATGTTTGCTTTATTTCTGATATTACAACTTAAGATTATGAAGAATTGAATCGAAAGGCCTGGTGGTGCTCTATATAGATAAATATCTTCATTAACAATCAATCAATATCTTCTTTAACATCGAGCACACTCGATGTCTTTGCTCCTGATTCGAAATCACCAATGTTTGCTTTATTTCTGATATTACAACTTAAGATTATGAAGAATTGAATCGAAAGGCCTGGTGGTGCTCCATATAGATAAATATCTTCATTAACAATCAATCAATATCTTCTTTAACATCGAGCACACTCGATGTCTTTGCTCCTGATTCGAAATCACCAATGTTTGCTTTATTTCTGATATTACAACTTAAGATTATGAAGAATTGAATCGAAAGGCCTGGTGGTGCTCTATATAGATAAATATCTTCATTAACAATCAATCAATATCTTCTTTAACATCGAGCACACTCGATGTCTTTGCTCCTGATTCGAAATCACCGATGTTTGCTTTATTTCTGATATTACTACTTAAACTCGTGAAGAATTGAATTGAAAGGCCTGGTGGTGTTCCATATTGATAAATATCTTCATTAACAATGAATAAATATCTTCTTTAACATCGAACACATTGAATTTTCTTGCTCCTGATTCGAAATCACAAATGTTTGATTTATTTCTGATGTTACTACTTAAACTCGTGAATAATCGAATTGGAAGGCCTGGAGGTGTTCCATGCGTGCAAATATTTGGGGCAGTGAGAAGGAGCTTTAAAGCGTTCTTCAAGCTGAAGTTATGAAACGGTGACCTAGATTTTGGCCAAACTTATTTGTTAGTACACTTAGCGTTCGGTGTTGAATATTACTGGGTGTATCTAAGCTCGCTAGTTAGTATCCAAACTCCGGGCTTCCATATTAGTATCTTTGATCAAACTTGGATCAAACTTGGATCAAACTTGATCCATTAAATAAAGCTGACTAAATTATATCGTATTATATGAATATTTATCGCATACAGAATTATTTAAATCTTCTATAAACGAGTTACATCTACATCTACAACGAGTTACATAGTAAAGTCACGATCCAACCTATTGTAATTAAAAAATTTGTATTATATTAAACAATCGTCGATACAGTATTTATTATAATCCCAACCCTTTCATCTGATGGTGACTATAAATTTGACTTAGGAATCAAATGTTCCTTGGAGGCCATTCAGAAAAGTTATTTTCAGGTGACATATTAAAACAGGACACGTTTTATAGCAATAAATAATTTGCTATAGAAGAGAATTAAGAATATTGATAAAATAAGCAATAACTCGTTCGGTTTTTGGAGAGCTTACTGGATTAATAACATATAAAATAGAAGTTAGTTACAATCGATGCGACTAATCGGATCAATAAAATCCAACGTAGTTAAGAGACTTGACTGTTAGCTAATTGTAGAGAAAAACCGATTTTAAAAGTCAAACGAACGGATCAACGATTTAATGGGTTAAAACCTGTGATATAATATTATTGGACGGAAATGGGTCTCCACCAAAGTCGTTAATTTTACTTACAAATAAAATTCATTGAAACATGATCAGATTCTAACACTTTTATTCGAGAATCGTATGAAACGCTTGAAAATAAGGATTCATCATAAGAATAGAAATCACCATTTTCTATAATTTCTCCAAAATTAAACTGATCGACATACCTGAACTACCAGCTAAGATATCAAAACGAGATCAAAATCATTAATTGAAAACAGTTTTTTTAGGTAACACTCAGTTTCACTAGTTACTGATCTATTATGGTTTGATGAATGGTTGCAGTGCGTACTACAGAAGGTCGGAAACTGGCGATTTAATGCCTTCACGCTGGAAACGGTAACCGGAGGTAAGCCAACGAACCTAAATGATCATACGATTTTCTTTCCTTCTAAAAGACATCTTTTAAACATTCGTATCCTCGATTTAACATTAAACTTGGTCTGTCTAAATTTAAATGAATTTTCTTTTTATATGAATTTAAATGAAATTATAATAAAATTCACTTTTTATGTTAATTTCTTACATCACTTTACTGAGTAATCCAAGTAATGAGTGAGTATTAAACTTGACCTTATGTAACTTTAAGTACACTTTCTTTTTATATGAATTCAAATGAGATTACAATAAAATTCTCTCTTTCTTTAAATTTACTGGGCAAGCGAGCAGACCTATAATTTCTACGTATTAGATTAAAAAGAGGATTGCTATGTTTAGAGGAAAAGAGGATTGCTATGATTATTTTATAAATCTACTGGAAATCTGTATTTTTAACTGAAATATTAAACTCGGTCCAGCCAACATTGAATACATTTTCATTTTACATTAAACATTACATTTTTCATTAAATTCTTATTGAACGTCTGCCAATTTACTGAAGGTAATGAGTAGGATGGAAAAGTGATAAAGCAGGAAAAGTAATTTCCTTCGGTAAATCAGTATATTAAAAAACCTGCATTAAGTTTTCTAACGATAGCGTAATTTTAAACCGCATTTTCCTCCGGAACATATCCATACATAGATAGTATAGCGTTCGTAGAGCGCCCCCAATATTTCAAGCTAGAAAGAAAATCGAGTCGGAAGAGCGTTCCTTTTAACTAAACACCGATCGATTTATCACTCAACGTCAAAAACTCGAGACGTACAAAAAGAACCGTTGCATGATATCGAAAAACGGTAGCCGACGAATATTCCATTTTTCTGGAATACCGGCATTTGATCTTCGTATCGAATCCTCACGATCCACTGCGACCGAAATCGTAGTTCAATCTTAGACCTTCAATCTTTTAAACGTCATTTGCATTTCATCCTTTTTGCCTCCTTTTGCCTTTGATGCTCTATGGAATTTTGCCCATTTCATATTTTTTTCACGTTTTTCTACATACTCAGTTTTACTGTAAATCCATAAAATCTGAAGGATTATTCTCTATCTCTCTTTGTCGGAATTCGTGCGATTTGATGGAAGTTCGCGTTACTATTATTTAACGTCCGTGAGGTGTCAACTTGGCGACACGATAGCTCGACTTACGAATTACATTCCTCTATTGAATCTCACGTTGCGTTTGATTTTCAGGTCGTTCGCTGCCAGTACTCTGCGTCCACCTTTTCCACTGGTACGGCCTTTTACAACACTTCAAGCTGGACGTGGTGACCGTCTGGAAATTATTCAGTAAGCAATCTGATGGATCTCAGAAACGAATCATTATCAATCTCAACAATTAAAATCGACAATCTTCGATGATCGACGTGGTAACAATGATAACAATCGCTATGTTGATACGATTACTTCTCGATTCCTGCGAGGTAGAAAGATCGCTTTGAAACTGAGAACAATTGACAATGAGACTTTCATACTGTAAATTAGTATCAACGATGCATGTCTTGAAATACTGACTAGTTCTTTATGGGTGGACTGCGGTCATGTAACTTCAAACTCGTTTTTTCAAATGGAACTAATAATAGAAACTGTTACGTGAACAAAGATTGAGTCATTTACTGCGAACGAGATCTACTCTCGACTCGTCTTCTTATTTGCAGCCTTCATTGAGGAGGGTTATCACAGTACAAATCCTTACCACAACAGTATACATGCGACCGATGTGACTCAAGCGATGCACTGCTTCCTCCAAGAGGAAAAAGTGAGTACACAGTCTCTTCCACGTGTAATAGTACTTTCGGTTCACTCGATTTGAATCAATTCAAGAGACGGTGGAAGAGGGGTACGGCGAACGTACCACGGGGTATACGTATAACGGTGTAAATTTCACAGATTAGGACGCACTTAACGAAGTTGGAAATTATGGCTTCGCTGATAGGCGCGGTGACGCACGATCTGGATCATCCGGGCGTCAATCAACCGTTCCTAGTTGCCACCAGCAACCATTTGGCTGCTCTCTATCAAGTACGTTAATACGATTTTTGATAGAAATTCCAATACAAAAAATTGACCAAATAACTTGATTTTCTTTTCAATGCTAGAATGTCTTGTAATTTATTATGTTCAACAAATTTTTTCAAGTACTTTCTTAAGTGATAAGCCAACATGTGTATTTATACTGTCAGAAAAAGAGAAATTAGTATATTTATATTAATTCAGTATTTACTTTCTTCCCCTTCGTCCCTTAATTTAATATTTCATTTCTCCCTCTCCCCTCTCTTCATTTAATATCCCATAATTAATAATTCATTTCTGTCCCTACAGAAGTGACCATAAAAAAATAAAAGAAAGTAAAACAACAATGAAATGATTTATAGAATACGTCAGTACTTGAGAATCATCATTGGAGATCAGCGGTGGGATGCCTCCTGGAAAGTGGAGTTTCCGATCAACTGCCAGCCAGCCTGAGGCCGGAGCTTCAACGGCACATAAGCTCGTTGATATTAGCTACAGATATTACTAGACAGCAGGAGTTCCTCTTCCGATTCAGGGTACCGAACCAAATTTCATTACATAATTTTTTTTCAATAATCTATATGTAGTGAATGTCTCAATGTCATGTCACAATTTCTAATTACCGGCTTAAGATTGCAAGTAAAATTGTAGAAAAACAATGCAGTGAGTAGAAATTGGAACATTTACTATATTCAAATTATTCATTATTATCCGCATGAATATTTTAATATCCACTAACCCCGGCATTCACTTAATATCCACAGCACTACTTGGACGAGAGCTCATTGGACATGAGACGCGGCGAGGATCGACATTTTATCCTGCAGATAGCCCTGAAATGCGCCGACATATCGAACCCCTGTAGACCTTGGGACATCTCTCGAAAGTGGTCCCACAAAGTATGCGAGGAATTCTTCCGTCAAGGTGATTACGAGCGCCGGCTGAATCTCCCAGTGACACCATTATGCGATCGTCATACCACCAGCATACCGAAAATACAAACAGGATTCTTCAAATTCGTCGTGACACCTTTATACGAGGAATGGCACCGTTTCCTAGGCGACGGTCTCAGCGTCTCGTTAATGAAACACCTACGCGAAAATCAGAAAAAGTGGGAAGCAATGACGTTGCAGGAAACAGCAGAAGAAACCGAGACCGAAATCTCTGAACTGGAAGAAGCCGAGGAAGCAGTCAGTTCAGTGGACGACACAGCGCCAGAGGAAGATACCGGAAGCATCGACTTGCTCATACCAGGAGCTTACGTCCAGTCATCGAAGATCCAAAGCCTCCCAGCTCGGGTCGGCTTAGAACGAGCCGGTAGACGCCATTCCGTACCATTAAGCATCAGCAAACCCTTGACTCTCCTCCCAGCCAGCAACGTCAGACGAGAAAGCCTCCCAAATAAACAAAGTAAATTACTGAGACTCGACGATCAAAGCTTCCTGGACCCAAGCACGCTGTCTCTATTCTCATCCAAAAGCAGTACCCACGAACTCTCGCCAAATATCAACAGTTCAGAAAGGCCGGTCAGTGCTGAGAGCCTCTTACCAGAAACGAGCATAGCTAGCATTACTAATAGTACAGAGGCTACTAGATTGAGTTCAGTTTTACAGTCTGATGAACAGAAGCCTTCTCAGGCTAAGCAGCTAACTAGACAACAGACTTTCCCACCTTTGCAACCGTACGTTAGACAGAGGTACATGTCCACAACTGTTGAGATGTCTCAATGTTTCTCACAGATATTAGTAGAAACTGATAGTTTGGATTCTTCAAGTTCAACGAAGCAATGCTCAGATGGTCACTGCGGTACCCCACCGAAGAAGGACGTAGACACTGGAAGCATTTCTGTGTCTAAAGAAGATATATTAAGTAAAAGACGTGGATCTGCGATCTCTGATGTATATAAACCGAAGATGGAGGTTGAACAGAGGAGACATTCGGTGCAGACGATTCGTATAGAGGATAGCAGCTTGAAGAATCGTTATAAGTTTGGTCATGGAATAGATTCAATGCAAGTTTTGTTTACTAAGGATAAGGAAGATGGGATTCAGGAGACGGAAGGTTTCTCTGTCTCTAGGACATTGGAATCTGAAAGATCGACAAAGCAGAGGACTATGGTTAAAGCGGAACAGTGTGGTTTGAAGCCCAGGTGTGCCGATTCTGAGTTGCGAAGATATTCAACTCCTGTGCCAGAAAATAAGACAATAATGACGGATGCCAGTGGGAGACGGTTTACGGCGATCCCAGTGCCCTCGGAGCTCAGCACGCATAAAGTGTTCTTCATTGGCAGCCCACCGGACTCGCCGCCGCTTATTCAGAGTGTTTCTTCGTCGAGCGATAGTGGTAGTTGTAGGGGTGACGCGAGTAATGAGATTATTTCGACGGGGAATAAGAGGGACTCTGATAGTGTGAAGGAGAGGAGCTCGAAGATTGCCAAACTGAGTTTGGATATGCAGATGAAGGAGAATGTGGATCCAAGAGGAGTGGAGGATACAAAGGGCATTGCTCTGCCTAGGAAGGGTAGCCAGGTAAATTTGATACATTTAGAGTTTAGAAGTACATTTTTTAATTGTTGAATTTATGATTACTGATCATATTTTTGTTAAAGTCATTCGGCAGTGGAGTATTTTTTTTTATTAAGAATTAAAATTCATAAGAATTGCAATTCTTCTAATTCGAGTGTTTTGTAATTAAGGATTAAAATTCAATCTTTAATTCAAACTTGTTAAATTAAGAATTAAAAATTAAATTTAAATTGTTTCAGTCGTGGGCTAGACGGCGTGGATCAGCCCCAGTTGGTTTGCTATCGAGATTGGACGACATCACTGTGCCTCCTATACCAACTAGAGTCGATCACACTTCTAGGCGCGGCTCTGTACCAATCGATATTACCAGGCAACAAGGTAAGACGAGATAAACGAGACAATAGAGTAAAATACAGTAAATACTGTAGTGTACATGTAGCATATAATAAATGTGAAAATTATTGAAAAGAAACTATTCAGTAAGATATTAAATAAGTACGTGTAACGCATATGTTATGTTGCCTTGTTTTAAGGTGGCGGCTTTAATAGATTAGCGTTAGGACCACGCGAGGGTAACGTCGCAGCGCCTCGTAGAGCGAGTCTTCCGCAGGAAACTGCTCTCGGCAATCTCCTTGGCAATATTTTATCGTTAACTAGTACGTATTAGTACAATTCGATTTTTGTCGTCCGTGTTGTTTGTTACTAGCAACTTGCACGTTTCCAGATGAGCGAGAGAACCTCCCGGTAAATAATAACAATAACAATAACAATACCGGGAGTAGCAACAATAACGGGATAACAAGAATAATCGATAGCACCACTGGGCCCGGCATGCCGTCGCCGCGGCGGGGTTCAGTCCCGGCAGACATATCTGAATTACGCCGTGATATGTTCAATAGGAGTAGCATAAACGGTAAGCCTCGTAATCGGAAAAAGGTATTGAAGAGAAGGAGTTCTGGAGGACCAGAAATGTTTTCTGGAGGATCCGCAGATGGGAACGATAATAATGGAACCTGGCTTAAGTGGAAGCGGGAGTTAGGAAAGAAGGACACGATACCGGAACCGGTCGTCAGGCGAAGAGGTTCCCTGCCCATTGAGATGGTGGCCATTTCACATGCTGGTCGGTACAATCATAGATAAAGGAGGATGTCGATTAAACACAAGCCGGTACCATTGCGTTCTCCACTAATATTTTTTACGAGAATTTACGAAATGTTCTCTTTCGCTAGACCTCATCACCGTTTCGTACGTTCAATTCTCGTTAGCGACATTCATAGTTCAGAGAGTCGCAGCACTGATCACGCTGTCGACAAGACTTTAGACGTAGACACTGGGCCCCATTGAAATGACAGTGCAAATAGTGGCATTTTTTGCAAATATATTTCCATTATAGGATTATTATTTATTGTTGAATATTTGGAAAATTTACTAATTGTACTACCAATTTAATGATACCCTCTATGTAAGCTTTTCGAAGTCGTACATTAACCCTTTGGGTCACAGCCAGGCTCTGGAGTTACAGCTCTTTAAAATGATCTGTATGTATTTTTTTAATTACTTTGAGAACTAAAACCTGAAAGTTTTTGCCTGTTTTTTGGAATTTTTTGCAAACATAATCTATAGAATTATGATTTATTGTTCGGTATTTGACAAATGTGCTAATGGTACTAATTTTGATGATACCGTCTATACATATAAGCATTTCGAAGCACAGTAACCCTACTGATTACGAACTTGACACCAGAATTTTAAAATTCATTATTCACATAGATTTCAAATTCGTGGCTCAAAAGGTTAAACACATCTAGTGATAGGAATATTCAATCGTTAAACAACATTTTAACAAGATTTGTATATATATGCAGGGTCAGGATCGGGGACACGAAGATCAAGCTTGTGGAGGCTCTAGTATGGCGAAGAGCCAAGTGGACCGTCCGTGTTACCATCAGCTGACACCAGATCATCGAATACTACCATAACGAGAGTCTTTCCTTACAACGTTAGCAGCAACAGCGATGATTGACTTCCAACACGATTTCCCAGAGCCACCGAAATTCCTGAGGAACGTGTGTCTTTAAACCAATTATAATTGTGGGCAAGTGGATTTTATAAAATTAATCGAAAACAAAAGAATTTCTATCAATAATTGTTTCGCACAATACGAGAACGAGGTGGACCGCGATTTACTTCGTCTAATTAGATAAATTTATCCCAAATACTATACAAAGAAGAGGCACAATCGGCATTAAAACAGAAATCGTACCATACGATTGGCTACTTTCGTCACAGGGTTAAAAAGTGAAACAATAGCAAGAGAGACGAGGAACTTAAATTCTAATGTCTTCCCCGCGATTTACGCGGCCGCGTGGAAGAAATGAGGACAAGTATTAATTCGTATGGGCTCTATTATTATCCATTGGTGCCACGAACAAACGTTGAGGCACAGTAAAGAAAAAAACAACACAGGGTTCATTATGACGATTTTAATAATTAAAATGCCTAGGTATGGGAGAAGGAGAAAAGACTGGTAGAGAAACTCACCGCTATTCAAATTAGACACTTCTAAAGTGAACACGTGAATTCGATTGAAGCATAATTAACATTTGCTCATAGTTAAGTTTTTCGTATCAGAAAACCAACATTTATTGGTTTCATCTACAGAAAACCAACGTTTTCTGGCTACCGATCATGACTAGAGACCCTTTAAACAGAGACTATCAGGAGGCCAGGCTTCATTAGTCTACAATTTTCGTCAGTATTCAAAACGCATTAACTTTATATTAAACATATTTCAAATTTCTCTCAAACAATTAAAGTCCAGTTCATTGGGTTTTCTTCTAATTAAGAATATATTCCTTCAATTCATAACTAATAATAATAATTACATTTCAATCCTTTACTACAAGGAATTCAAATTAATAATTAAAATATAAATATTAGTTAAAAGAAATTCGAATTCATTATTAAAATTAAGCAATTGGGAAATGAGAATTGAGAACTGAGAAGTGACTATGAATTGCAGCCTGAAACGTATTAACTTCACTTTTAGAGGGTCTCTAACTACCCCTTTTAGGGCGACATTCATCCTTTAACTCGCGCCATCTTCATTCAAACACTCGTTTACCCTTGAAAAATATCATTTTTTAAATCTTTGTCTCCTGCATTCAGTACGAAAGAATTTGTATTGTCTAGTTAATAAAAATAAGAAGCTATTAATGAAATATACTCATTGTCAGTATCGAATTGACATGCTAAATGCGAGACAAGACATTCCATTCAAACAGATAAGCGAGTAAAACTGCGAATGAGAGTTGCAATTATCATCGTTTATTATTAGACTGCGGATTTTGTGCATATATAAAAGGATTAAATATGAAAGGAAAGGAAATAAGTTTGATGAAAAGAAAAAGAAATGTATGAGAAGTATTCTTCTGATCGAAAGTGGAGGACTATTATAAACAAATACTTTTTTTTAACGGATTTAATTTGATTTAGCATGAAAATCGGCAGTCTATTTATTATGATATCATAATCACAGGAGCATCGGTATATTGTCATCATCGTTGTTGTTATAGTTATAAAAATGAAATCTTAATGATCGTTCAAGTAGATAGATACTATAAGCGTAGGGACTATTAAATATGCGTTCAACCTCGGAATTAATTAGTTAGCGAATCGCGTGGGTTTAAAACCATGGACATTTCTTATACCCTACGGAAACGTGAAGATGGTTACGATGAATGGGTTTGCGGTACGTGAATCGAGGTCAATCAAAAGCCCCGAGAATTCGTTCGTAATTGTTCGACACCCGAAACGTTCGTTTCCAACGACGATGTGCGTTTAGTGAAGTTTAGTACAATTAATTAGACTGCCTGTGCACAAACATGTACAACACCGAATTTAAGCGTTCGTTTGTTTTATTATAGCAAAGTCACGTTAAGTGTGATGTTCATGTGAATTGATACTAATTCAACAACATTATTTTTATTTTTGTTTTTTCGTTTCTAATTTCTGCTAACGTATTCCTGAAATTCTTCTGATTAAGATGAGACCAAACACGGTATGTATCGGTTTTTATTTATATATAATATTTGATGAATAGGTAATAACAAATAGCGTCTTTTAAATAAAAAAGAAGTTAAAGCATACGATATTTGAACTCAATTTAATCAGAAGAATGTCATAAATACAATAGTGGTTTTTTTATTAGAAGATAATTAATCATGAAAAGAATTATTATTATCCTTTGATGTTTGCTGGCTGCCTCGATCGATCGTACTTCCTCTCTACTTTTATTCTGTCCTATTCTACGTTCGATGAGACAGGAATCGTATCTCTTCTACGTTAAAAGTGAAAGTTTGAATCCGAAATCTTCACACTTAACGCGACTTTACTGTATCGACTCCTCTATTCATCGATAAATCGGAATCGTTTTGCAGAGAAATGAATTTTTTTAGAATCTGTTAATTATAGTTTCTAGATCGTAAGGGAAAGTAATAATTTATATCACGTACTGTTATAAACCTGTCGTTCCTCTGACTGTCAGAAAGTAATGAACATATTCTTAAGCGATCGCAAGTTCAATAATAACGTACATAAATATATACATATATGTATATATATAGTTATACATATACATGTATGTATATAAGACACGTCTAAGTTTATAACTAATCAAAGTAATAATTGATATCTGTATCGATGTAATATATAGGTAGGTTACACGTTCTCCCGAGCAAAGCGTTGGAAGGTTTGATGAAATTTCCCAAGGAAAATCTCACGGTGCAGGAACTATCCGAGCTTTATGTGTACTTTACTCAATGACCAAACAGGAAGAAACTGAAAATAACAAGAGGTGGGAAATAGAAAGGAGATCGCCTTAAATAGCGAAGCCACGAATACGATTATTATGTTTTACTATTTGTAATGCAGGAGCTGCATAAAGCTGCACATGTATGAGAGCATTAACTACAGTGGCCAGGAATTTTTTAGATCATGTACTTTTTTCACGTTTTCATTTTCTGACACAAAATCGGAATGAACGGGGGTTCATTAATATGTTTTAATTAACTTAAGGATGTGTTTCGTAAAAGGAAATTGTAAAAGAGTCGAACGGAATTTATTCTATCATACGTGACTAATACTAACTGCATAAGTGACTCATAATAGTCAAATAGTGATTTATAAACAAAATTTCATTTGTGAAATTGTTTATGAAAGAGAAAAGATTACAAGACTATA